TATATATATATATATATAAGAATAAAGAGAGGCAGAAAGGAATGCTAGCTGTTAGTGATAGTTAGAGGGTTTTCTTCCTTCTTGGCTATTTATAATAATGCAGAAGAATCATATGCTCGTAATATAATATTTAATAATAAATAAATAAACAAATAAATAAATAAATAAATAAATAAATAAATATATACTATTTTAAGCTCTTTAGTATAGCTGTACTTCCTTTGTCCACTCCATAGACGACATTAGGAGACAAAAGGAATATAAATATTATTTTTTAGGGAATTACACAGGTACATCTTCTTCCTTTATTAACTCGACACAACATACCATAAAGGAGGCTAGTAATAGGAAACCTCTTCCCCTCTCCTTCCCCTCCCCCTTCTGTAGACGTATGCATTATTAAATATATAAGGAGTTGATTATTCTTTTCTTTTTATTTAATTTCTCTCTTTAGTGCATGCAAACAGAAATACAGTAAAAACAACACCAACGTAACACCGATCAGCTGACGAACGGCTAAGGATAAAATCATACAGCCAAAACTTTGTTTGTGTGTTTGTTTGTTTGCTGATTAAATTAATTAATATATAAAATAAATAACAAATAAAGTGAATAAGGCGGAGAACAGTTTTGCGTCCTCCTTTTGGCCGTGTGAACACGACAGCCAGCAGCGGTCCATTGCATAGCGGTGACCGGGAGAGGCGAAAGAAGCGAAGAAGAAAAAGGAGAAAATAAATTAATTAATACTTAATTATGGAAATAAAAACAGATTAAATAATAAAAAGGAATATATTTTAAATAGGGTTTCATTCTCCCTTTCACTTTATGTTCTCTTAATATTGTTGTAAAGAACGGTAATAAATTTAATAATAACATTGAGGTGCATGCGTGCATGCAAAGGAAAGAAGACCCGAAATCTAACGAAATTGAAGGCAGAAGATGAATAAAAGATGTTTAAAATAAATTTTATAAATTAAAATAAACATATTCGTTCAATTGCCTGTGCTTTCCTCTTTTTTTATTGTAGCACCTTCTTCTCCCTGTAGTCAGCGACCGACACACCAACATCTTCTTTGCTGCATAGCGTCTTTGAAATATTCAACTTTATGTAGATGTGGTGTAAGTGCAACAAACTTTTTTATTTGATTCTTTTTTAGTTTATTTCTTCCTCAATGTCTTCTAAAAACTTTCATGGAGATCTACTCCTTGACGTCTTCTCTCTTAGTCGTCAGTCTTAACTACCACAGCTGGCGATTTCCTTTCCTCCTCTTTCCTTTAAAGCGTTTATATGTATACTGTTGCTGCCATTATTTATATTGACTATATAACACAACCAATTATAAAGTATGACTACACAGGGAGGCAACCTGTGCGGGCATCCCTGTCCGCGTGGCTACTCAGGTCTCTGCACCGCTAATCGTAGTAGGAACAAGAGCAGCAGCCAGCACCAACAACACAAGCAGCAGCAGCCAGATCCCCATCTTGGTTGCATTCCCCTAAAACGAGGCGATCGTTTGCAGCAGCAGCAGCAGCAGCAAGGCTCTTTTTGGGCTGATTCATACAACATGAACAGTGCAGAGAGGGCAATGGTACCTGTACACAATATGTCTACAACTAGCCACATACACTGCAATTGCTGCTGCACTCATTGCTACGAAGGGGACGAAGAGTACTTCAACTCTTCAGTTCAAATAGAAGTAGAAACTGACGGATTCGATTCGGTGAACTTTTCCCCTCCGCTTCCTCGCCACCATCGGCAGCAGCATCAGCAGCATCAGCAATATCTGCAGCATCATCAGCAGCATAGCGAAACTATTGAGTTGTGTCCTTATCATCAACAATACCAGCAACAGCAACAACAGCAGCAGCACCGTCACCACCACCACCACCACCATAACCACAGCCAGCAGCACTCTGCCAGTTCGCATATTCCACCTCTGCCTATTAAATCCTCCAATGTTTTATCTGTTAGCGATCATGCAATATTCCCTCTCTCCCCTGAAAAAGAAGAAGGAGAGCCTGTGGATTACGAATATTATGTATGGGATGCTGTAGCACAAGAATACGTACGTACAGACCGTCAAACAGGAGAGAAAATGCTACAAGATCCTCAGTACTTTCAGTATCATTACCGACTTGTTGAGAACGCAGAAGACGGGGAAACATTGCTGTTGCCAGAACCTCTAAATAATGCTATCGCGCCTTGGAGCGAAGATCAACAGGCCGTGCTTCAGCAACAGGAGCCAACTCCAATAAGTCTTTACAGTGATCAGCGCGATGATCAGATGTGCCCTTATCCTCATCCAGATGCGGCTAGAGATCTTTGTCACGATAATGAGGAAGACACGTGTATTGTGAGTGGTGCTCACTCCGTGGAGGAAGCAGCAAAGAGCAGCTTTTCTCAAAGGGCCCCTCACCTTGGTGGTGGTGAGTTGTTGCAACCTCCCCACTCTCTTTTGGTGACACCACGACAAGGGCGGTTGGATAAGCCTGTGTCTGCACAGAGCCGCTGTGCACAAACACAACAGCAAGGAATGAGAAGATGCCGCGAAGTTCTTGACAAAGAGAATTGCTCACAGCCAACCACCTCCAGCACTCACCACAGACTACAAGACTGTGCTACGAATTCAACTCTTACGGGACATGCTACGGGTTGGGGTCATGAAGCACCAAACATCATTGACCGACGATGCAACAAAACACCTGGGACTAAGGGCGTCGAGTGCAAGCTAGATGAAATAGAGGCTATTTCTTCAATACCTCGGTTTTTCATCTCTTGCAGCAGACCGTGGGAAAACCCTTCTGCCAGCATGCGAGACAGAGACCTGCAGCTACGACAACTTAGACATCTCCAGCGAGTGCAAGAATTAGAGAGAGATGAACTGTTTAGGCGCCAATTAATGCTCGATGAAATGGCAGCTGCTCTTCCCAAGTCGTCGCAGCTTCTTCTGAATGCGGAAAACAATAGCAAAGCTTGCCGTGACGCAAAACGCCCTGCTGCCGATCGCCGAATGAAGAACAACAATCGATTCCCTACTCAGGCACAGCAGCGTGATTTAGAGCGTCGGACGCGGACTGATCCTGTTAACCGAGGACGTTACTTTAGGGATGTGTGGAAAAGCGACAGGTTTCTAGAACAACAAAGGCATCCAACATTCGACGTGAAAGCATACGATGCATGGTTGAAAAACAGTGGACATCTGATTAGAGGCAGGGCTCTAGAGCTGCAGCAAGAAGAGCAAAGATTACTCTCCAAGCTGCAGCAGGAAAGAAGCACCCGCTTAAAGCGATGCGGGTACTGAATGAGGTGTTTGTGGGTGGTTTATGTGAGTATGTGTTCTGAGTGTTGTGCCGTGAACGCTACAGTAAGTCGATTCTGTTGACTAGTGTTTCGAATTCCTCCTCTTCGTCCGTTAGCTTATCCGCACCTCCAAACATCAGAGATCCATGCACTGGAGTTCCGATGGATGTCGAGCACGTCGAGCTCCGCCGTGGGACACCCATCCCACATGTCAAAAAACCATTTGGCTGGGGATACAACTGGTTGTCGGGAAGCAGCTTCATGAACTCTGGGCTTGAGAAGCTTTCTCCCCGTTCGGGGGAACTACCAGTTGAAGTAAAGCTTGAAGCTGGGCTGTTCTTAGAGTTCGGTTGGGTCGGTGCCTCCGCTAGGCCAACATGTGAGCTTCCGTCTACTTTCCGTTGGGTTAAATAGAACGATGCGTCGCTCGTAAGGATCCAATTGCCGAGCTTTATCCCGTGGTCTTGCGATTGGAAGTCGGGTACACACTCAAATACTGGTAGAACCACATTGACGGCCTCCGGGTCCGGGCATTCGGAAAAGAATGTACTGGAATCGCCGTCCCACTGGAGCTTTTCCGCCATGAACAGTTCTTGAATAGGCCTTATATTCCCCCATCCTTTCTCAAAGGCATTCATGTACGAATGGTAAACATCGGTCGTTTCCATGCGTCTTCGCATTTGGTAGATGTGGAGCGAAAATAGAAACGGGCTTGTAAGTAGTTGGAAAGCTGTGGGCCTCTTCTGCGGGTCTTTGGTCAAGCACTTCAGCAGAAACTCCATAGCGTCCTGCCGAAGGAAAGGCAGACGGTCAGTCACATCCTTTTCCTTGAATGCAGGTATTTGCCTAGAGGCTTCCTATAGGATGCATGATGAATTGCCTCTGCTTAACTTTAAAGAGAAGCAATAAATAGTCTCACGCTCATATTCAGGCACTCGAACAGACGCTCTCCAGTGAGCAGCTCGAAGAATATTGTCCCAGCTGCCCAGACATCCACGCCGTAGCTGTACCCTTTACCGTTGGGTATGAATTGCTCAGGCGCGCAGGCGAAGCAGGTTGTGTAGTTTTTTGTCAAGATAAGTCCTGGCCTAACCTTTCTGTACAGCAAAGGGAACCTTGAAAAGGCTACTAGACACGACACAGGAGACAGCTGACTTACGTGCTGTTGCCAAAATCTATTATTTTCAATTCGTCGTTTTGGAAAGTGTCTCCGTGCCTCACGAGGATGTTCTGCGTCTTGAGGTCGCGGTGAACTATGCATTTTGAATGAATAAGCACCAGAGAACAAATAATCTGATATATGTAGGCCCGGGCCACCTCCAGCTGAAAACACATGACTTTGAATTTCATAGCGGACAAATTGTGTGCATGTAGTATTCGTACCGGCATTCCTGTGCTGTATTTCGACTTGAGCAACTTTCTTAGCTCTCCTCCATTTACAAGTTCTAGAACCAGATGATCATGAGTGTCGCCGACAGCGCTGTGATGAGCGACAGCCGCAGCAACTGCTGAATTTCCCACTTCAAGGGCAACCGAATGTGCCATTAGTCCAAGGAATTTGGAAGGATGGGGGTCCTGGGCCTTATAGGTCAGCAGAGAACCTTCTATCCGAATATCACAGATGAGAGTATACTCATGTCGAAGCATTTCTTTTGGTTCGCGCTTAATGGCTACAGGAGCACCGTGTCTTCTGTCAATTGCAAGAAATACTTCTCCATTTCCTCCCTTTCCTAGTCGCGTGTCCAGAAAGACTTCAAATCGACGAGAAACAGACAGCTGGTACTCTGTAAAATGGTTGCTCCCGTCTGAATTCAAATTGGAAGCCGCCTCGACAGGGATGGTGGGAATACAACGGCGAATTGGATTTGGACGATCGACTCCAAGAAGGATCCGACGGAATGAGAAGGAACAAGTACAACTATCATTGATTGCCTTGCCACTTGCATTAATGCCATTCTTTGGGATCATGCGGAATTTGCAATTTTCCGCAGAGTCCATACTGCTGAACACTTCAAAACCCTTTGCTGTCTCCTTCAAAAATTCAAATGCCCCACATCCGTTTCCTTGAAATGCAGGGGCCGTGATTGGAGGAGCTTGACGAACAGAGATATTTCTATCGCGGACCTTGATGCGCAAATAACCACAACTTCCTCTGTATTCCGGATACGGGCCGAGAGGAACTGGCACCAAATTGCCTAAGTTGTTTGTGCAGTTACAGCCGATTATATAGTCTCCAGGTTCCGTGAATACAAAGGTCGAAGGATATGGGGTATACTGGATCAAGCAAAAATAATGACCTTTCCGCAAAAATGTTCTTTCTGATGTGAATCCTATACCACGGCGTGGCCGAATATCTCCTGAGTTGATAGGTGCTGGAGAGATCGTATCCACGTTTGTCTTAGCGAAGGTATTCGCTATCTTCCATCTGGCGAACATCTTGACAACTTTTGCAGAAAAAAATCAGATTCCTCTACTTAGACGATCACAGGCGAAACGGCCGATTCCCGTCGTCACGTTCGCGTTTTCACCAAATATCACCGAAGCGAAAACGATGGACGAAAGAGAGAAGGTCGGAACGGCTGACTATTGCGATTCGAGGTGCGAATCGGGAATCTTGCGCAAGCCGAATACCCACTTTTCGTGGAAATCGGCTGAAATTAAAAAAACAAAAACAAAACAAATAGAATATCGCGCGAATTGCGATTGCGCAAAAAACAGATTAACGGAGAAAAACAATCAGAACATGAGCCTTTTATACGGCAATATGTGAATTTCTACAACATGGGCAGCTACTTGAAGGTATTGTGAGGAGTGACTGAAGGAAACTTCTACGAGCAATCGTAATTGCTGTCCATACAGTCCGTTGCAGAGAAGGAACCTCTTGCAGGATCCATGATTGAAACATTCAAGATATGGTGGAATACATACCTTAATGTATATCTTGTGACTTGTACTTTTATTTTAAAGGGTTATTATGCTATTTTTATTACAACATGGGGAGGTTACGCAGCGCGACCGCTCCTCAATCGGAATCGCCCGGCAGTAACGGCGCGTGCACGTCTACTATAATATATATATTCTTAAAGTAACCTGTGTTTTTCTCTCTATATCTATTTACGTCTGAAATTTGAATTGCGACAATTCTTGACATTTTCGCAGAACAAGTTTAATAGCGTGCGTGCTTTCCCAGTTCGTCGCCTCCAAGGCAACACCGAGCTGGTGCAGTATCGTTGCGTCCCGGTGACTCTTCAAGGTGGAAAACGTTGCATGAAACAGTATTTTTGTCTTTTGTTTTATATTGTATTGTTATCACAAGTCCAGGCTTTGTAAATCTATGCCGCTTTGCGAGCTGAAGTGAGGGCAGGTTTATGGCTAGCGGAATGGGGGCCCAAGTTTCCGGAGAAAGTGGAAACAACGGCTTCTGAATTTACGAGATTCCCGATGGTCCTAAGGTCAGAAGTATTTTCAAATTGGTACAAAAAAAGGTTTAATTTTCCTTCACTTCCCCTGTCTGAGCTTGCAAGAGCTGAAGTGCGTCGGCTGCCCCTTGCCCCATCCGGCAGACCCAACGAAGGCCTGCAGGGCCTTTTATGAGTTGGTCAAGAAGCAAAGCAGGTAAAAGGCTTGGAAAATACATTTATTCTGCTTCTGTATGCTACTTACAAGCTGCTTCTTCTTTGACCAAAGGTCCTGGGGATCTTGACCCCGACGGAGATTTACCGCTGGTCACGGTTTTCTTCACCAGTGGTCAACAACCCCTGGTCTTCTGCTTCTTCTTAAGGCCGTCAAATTACTTAAAGAACTTCTTTAGATGATTTAATTGAAACGAAGCTGCATCGTTCGTCTCTCCCTTGCCTCTACAATCCCAGGAGCTTTCCGCCGAGGAGGAACCTCGACAGCTGCTGCGACGGCTGGTGTAGAATCTTGCGTTCGTTCCTCTCTTCACAGCCGTTATAATCCCTCGATTATATTATCTTATAGATTGTGTCTGAGAGGAATTTGGTAGCAACAGCAGCACCAAAAGGCTGTTTTGCTGTTGCTGCAGCAGCGCATGCGTGCTCCGTCTGTCTGCCGTCTTGAAGATTTTTGTGGTGTGTACATAAGTTGTTAGGAAAGGAAGCAGCAACCATGGAGTACACAGATGAAGGGGGAAACCCCTTTTTACATACTTGTTTAGAGAGGGGGGATTTTATGGCATTCTTTGCCGAGTTACCAAGGACAAATAATTTATTTATACGCGATAGAGGAGGAAGAACGGTGATGGAGTTGGCAATGCAGATGACAGTAGAATTATTTCAGTCTTGTTTCTCTACTTCTTTCCCAATTGATAGTTTAGCTCTTGGTCGTGGTTGTGGTTGTTCTTGTGCTGTATGTGCACATAAAAGACACCGCAGTATGCGTGATGGTGTAGGGGAGAATCAGAAAAATTATAACTGTAAGAACCCTATGCGTATAAGATATAATGAGGAATATCTAACAATGTATCAACAACCAAGACAAATGAGAATTAACGCACAAAAAAAACCTCCTGTTCCTTCTTTACCTCCTAAAAATAAGTATACTCCTGCTACTTATCCTCCTGGTTGGACACCCGATGCCAGTGGTCAACCACAACCAGGACCAAGAGGACCACTGGACCCCTCTCAAGGTGAGTAATTGACTATACAATACACCATTCTGTGCTTCCTAAGAAGCAACATTGTGTCTATGTATACATTTATTCTCTTTTATGACATGTATTCCTATTGAGCAGCTGTTCAGGTTATTCCTCTGTTCTCCTTCTATGTATTCCCTCCCGATAGCAGCAGCAGCAGAAGGAGCAGCAAGATGAGAAAGTTATAAGTTTATATATTTATTTATTGTTGTCTTATTGTTATGCAGGAGGATCGTTCCCTTTACCATCAGGTGCTTGGGCACCTGCACCTGGTCCTTCATTACCTCAGCAATATTTTTATCCTTGTGAGGCTGAGGGTGACGCAATGCAAAAAGGAAGTCGTCTTGCATTAGAACAAATAAAATTAGAGAATAAAATGGTACAAAGAGAAGTATTAGTATTAGTAGAAGAAATATGTGGTGGTCCAATATGTGAGACAATGAAGGCAAGAATGAAGAGATTACTACAGAAATTGAGATCCCTTATTCTTGTCATTAAACGTCTTGGTAATTGTAATTTATTAAGAATTAAGGCAACAGAATCGGCTGTACAAACAGAATTATTACATAGGAAAATTACTTATCCTTTCCTTTATACTGCTCTTATGCATAGAGCATTCCAACTCTATCCTCATCGACCTAATGGGCAGGCAAGTTGTTGCTCTTGTTCTTGTTCTTGTTCTTCTCCTTCTTGTTCTTCTTGCTGCTTTTGTTGATAACATTAATAAAAATAAATATTAAAATATTGTAAAGTTGATTGATATGTTGTTGAAGGGATTATGTCTAGTGTCTTAATGACACGTCACTAGATATATGAATAAAAGAGGATTATGATTGAATGTCTTGATTGTTTTCCTCTTGTTTGCACATATCTATAACATTATCAACAATATATATCTAAATAAAATGTAAATAAAATGTTGAATTATATGTCTTATTGTTTTTGTTTTCTTGTTGCTGCTGTCCTCAGGCATTTGATCCTGCACATCCAGCTGATGGTCGGCGTATGGTGCAACTGTTGGTGAATTACCAATTGCCTGGCTATGAGATTTGTTTATTTTTAGGGAATGTTATGTCATTATATAGCGATTTTATATCTTTTTTTGCACAAGATGATGTCGCTATATGGCGACCATGCAGAGAAGTACAACAATTCTACTTACATATGGCTTTCTCTTTAGATAGTGTCTTCTTGTTTAAATTCATCATTAACTTCGGAAAACTATTTGCAGGACCAACAGATGTATTCAAATGGGAAGAACTTCTTTATGTCCTCATGGAGGTAAGCCAGATTTCTTTAAGGAGCTGCACATACACCCCAATTCAATTTCGTGCTTTCCCCATAAGAAGGGTGTTCTTTTGGTGGAATTTTGCTGTTTGTTGATGAACATGAGAAGCCTGTGATTTGTTACTGTCTTTCTTCCTTCATCATTTCTTCAATAGACGTCTTCTCCCTCCTCTCTCGTCTTCTATCGAGTATTACATATTTGTTGATTTAATTTCCTCGTTTTGTTTGCAGCACCGAGATAGATTCAGACCCTTCTTTGCTGCTCTTCTTGCCTCTCGCCTAAAGAGTCGTGTGCAAAAGAGGCTCGTAGAAGAAGGATCGCCACAAGAAATAAAAAATAAATATCCTCCAGGTAAACAAACACACACAAATAGTTTATTCAGTAGTAGTTATGTTAAGTATTTGCCTCTTAATTATATTCATGCAAATAATATAAATATTATATATTTCCTTTAATAATTAGTTGCATAGTTCAATTAGACATTGTTTCTTGTGTTTCCCTCGACAGAGCAGCATTCTATGCATGCGTATTGTTATTTTATTTAATAAATCTAATGATTTTTATTGTGTATTTATTGCATTATTATTGTATACAGAGCCCGTTAAATATCCTTGTGAGGAGAGACTACTAACACATAAAGTATTAAGTGATTATGGCTCTCTATTTAGTAAAGAAGAGGCGAAGGAATTTAACGAATTACTTAAGAGATGGAAGTATGGAGCAGCAAGGCAAGAAACAGATATAAGAAGAGCAAATGCAGCAGCAACAGCAGCAAATAGAAGCAGCAGCAGAACAAGAACATTCCCTCCCTCTTCTGCCCCTCAGGTCTTCTGGGCATAAAAAGGAAGAGGAGAGGAAGAGGAGAGCGAAGGAGAAAGAAGAAATATATTAAAGAAAAAATGAACAAAAAGAGAGAAAATGTCAATAAAATATAAATAATAGATACATACAAATAATAAATTCTAATGCATGCGCTACATGCATGCATGCATGCATGCGTTATTTTTCCTTGTTTGCTGCTTTTTTAGTTAACTTTTGTTTCCTATTTTGTGCCTCTTCCTCCTCCCTCTTTTATCCTCCTTTTTTTTATTCCTTTCTTTGTATAATCTACCTCTTGCTAATAATAAAGGGGGTAAATTAAATAAGGGAGAAGTAAATAAAAAGAGAAAAACTCTTCTCCTTATATTCAAGTCTATAAAAGAAAAACAACAAAAGAAACATTTTTGTTGTATGTTTGTTGTTTCTTCCTCTCTTGTTTCTTTTCTTGTTTGCTGATTTAGTTCGAGTGTACGTACACCCCATCATAATAAAAAGGAATATTAAAACATACACAAATAAGATTAACAACTCTCCTTATTTCCTTATTTTTGCTACCTCTATATAACGATACGCGTATATATATACATATACATGCATATATATACAATATATGTATATTTATATGTATATATATACATATATATTAGCTGAATTGGCTACAGAGACGTATGTGTATGCATATACACACCCATATCGTACACATATTTATATACATAAATATATAAAAATATATAAATGTACATTTATATAGATAGGGATAAAAAAGAGAGTAGAGTTCAATTATTTGTGTTGCGATGGATACGGTAAGCAATTGGGGTGTACGTACAGGCAGATAGATAGTCGCTGCGTAGCATAAATAAAGATAAATAAAGTTATAAAAAAGATTTATTTATTATTATTTAATTAAAATAAATTAATTAATATTTAATTAATTTAATTTAATTCAATAATAATATATACAAATCTATTTTATATATAATAAATATTTATCTTTCTGTGCAGTGTCTACGCACAAAATCCTCCAATTTAGATGGATACGCCCCTGTTAACTGCAACAAATAACACACAAATAAATTAATATAATATACATATTATTAATAATATAAATTATTAATATATATATTATTAATATATACCTTATTAATATATACTTATTTATACATATATCTTATAAATTTATATCCTATAACAAACTAAGAACAATTTAGACAAAAAAATTAAATAAATAAATTTAATTATAAGATATAATTAATTAAATATAATAAAAATAAATAAAAATAAATAAAAATAAATAAAGAATAGAATAAACATACAGTTTCTATAATTTTTCCTCGTCTATACACCCTAAATGTTGGTAATGCCGATGGTAAATCTGATGAATTTATTTTATCAACATCTACAGATATAAATATTCCCTCGTACTTCTCTGATAAACTCTGCAGAAAAAAAAAAGAAATAAATTAATTAATTTAATTTAATTAATTAAATTAAATTAGTTAAGTTTATTATATTAACTAAATTAATATTATTTTATTCTTTAATATAAATTAAATAAGACATACAATATCCCACAAAACAATTAAATAAAACAAATAAAACAAATAAATAAATAAATATGTAAATAAATAAATAAATAAATAAATAAATGGATAAATAAAGCAAATAAAACGGTAAGGCTCGTAAACAAAACCAACAAAATAAGGAAAATAAACAAACAAAGATATTTATACCCTTAACAATACAGACATATAGATAGATAGCTAGCTAGCTAGCTACATAACTAGTTAGCTAGTTAGCTAGCTATTTATATATTTATTTATTTATTTATATATTTATACCTCAAAGAAAGGTTTAATTCGTGTACAAGGATGACACCAAGTTGCATTATAATCAATAAAAAGAGGAATATCTGCTGCATCTGCTGCTGCCCTTAATTCGTCTATTTCTTCGGGTGTATCGACAGCTATTACACCACGCTGCACAAAAAAAAAAGAAAAGAAATAGAGAAAAGAAATAAAAAAGAAATAAAAAGGGAGGAAGGAAGAAGAGAAGGAAAAGGGGTTATTATTTATATTAAAAGGAAGAAAAAAGGGGGAAAAAAAATATTTAATTACTTGTTCGTTCATTGCTTTGTGTCTTCTTCTAAGAGCATCGCTGCTGCTGCTGCTGCTGCTGCTGGTTGTTGTTGTTCCTTCTCCTCCATCATCATCTTCTTCTTCTCCTTCTTCTTCTCCTTCTCCTCTATGAGAAGATAATCCTCTTTCTCCTTCTTCTCCTTCTTCTTCTCTTGATCTAAATAAACGTCTAAATAAACGAATAAGAGGCTGTAATAGCATTAAGAAGAGAACCCCTAAATGCCAAAGGGGAATACATAAAGGACCAATACATATAATCATTTTCTTTCTTATATATATATTTGCGGTGTACGTACACCTGAATTTTTTCTATGGGTGAGTGAGCAGCAGTAACAAAAGAGCGCCGCAGGATAGGGAGATATAAAAGAAGATATATTATTTATATTATTATTTCTTCTTAATATGACTAATTAGTCCATTTAAAGAAACTTTTGCAAACAAAATGAATGCAACAACATACAAAGAAGATACAATGCGACGCCTTTCTCAGGTGTACGTACACCTGAAAGAGTTCGCCGTCACCAACTACCGCAGAAATACACCTATTTATGGAAAGCAGAGAATATTTTATGTAAATAAAGAAGAAAAATCAAAAATAAATAAATTATTTTATTTATTTTTGTTAAAGATCGCAGACAAAAGAAGGAAATTAACCACAGAAATACTTCCTCGGCGGCAGTCGCGGCGGTGGGTATATTTGCAAATAGGAGGAGAAAAACCACGAAACTCGCGGATTAGAAGGAAAATAATGTAAATAAATAGGAAATAAAGAAAGAAAATGGAAAAATAATTATTTTAATATATTATTTAATGGGGCTTTGCATGCAATTCATATTGCAACTCATGTTATACATATATAAACAGGACGGGGGAAGCAGCAGCAGCAGCAGCAGCCGCAGCTCCTGCTGCTGCTTCCTTTTACTAAAGTTGCAAGTTGATTATTGTTGCGTCAATTAATTAATATTTCTTTGTCTTTATTTTATTCTTCTTCGTCATCTCTATCTTTTGTGCCTTCTTCTTCTTGAGCGCCTCTACGGCGATGCTGCTAGGAGCCGCGGTGACTTCTTTTCTTGCTGCTGCTGCTGCTGCTGCTGCTGACAGAAGCAGCGAATAAATAGCAGCAAAAAAAATCAACATAACCTGCATAAATTATTTATAGCCTTCTTCGCCTCCTCTCCTTATAGCCATGGCACCAGGCGTCAGGCCCAAGACAGCAGCAGCAGTAACATCTGCTGCTGCAGGTAAAGCAGCAGAAGTAGCTGCAGCAGCAACAGCAGCAGATATAACTCCATCTGCAGCAGATGCAGCAGCAGCAACACACTCAACAGCAACAGAGGAAGGCAACACATCTACACATGACACTGGGGGGAAGAGAAGTGACACCGCAGATGCTGACACATGCAGCAGCAGCAGCAGCTGCAGCAGCAGCAGCAGCTACGGCAGCAGTAGCAGCAGAAACATTAACAGTAGTAGCAGTAGCATCAGTAGCAGTAGCAACATCAATAAGTCAATCAGGGACGAGCAGCAGCAGCAGCAGCAACTGTATGAGCAACAGTATGACCAGCAGCAGCAGCAGCAGCAGCAGCAGCAGCAGCTGCAGCAGCAGGACTCCTTCGCTGATGGCGAGGCATTCCCCTCCTTAGAGGAACAAAGTAGGCAGCTGCAGGAGGCGAGGGCATCAATGCAGCAGCAGCAGGAGAGGAAGAGGCAGCAGCAGCAACAACAGCAGCAGCAGAAACAGCAGCAGCTGCAGCAAGAAGCTGAGGAAGCTGCAGAAGATGCAGAAGATCTAGATAGTCTAGAAGACGCTTGCTGCAGGTACAACACAAATTAGGGTTTAGGGTTTAGGGTTTAGGGTTTAGGTATTTCTTTAGGTCATTTTCTGCTGGATTTTTTTGCTTTCTTTTTATATTTATATGAATTAGATAGTAAATAAATTAATTTAATTTATTATTTATTTATTTATTCTTTAATTTAGCCAATTTATTCATATAAAAGTATTATTTTTTGTTTCTTATTCCTGTCGATGCCGATCGATCTGCCTATACACCTGAAACCCGTTGGGGTGTATATGCCATCAATAAGCAGATAAGAAATACATAAAAAAGCGTGATAAAAAGTAGAAAAAAATAAAATAAATAAGAATATATATATATATATACTGTTATTTATTCTTTTTTCCTGTTTTTTTTTTTCTTATGATTGCAGTTATTGTGGTGTAACAGGTGCCGAGGTACTAATACGTTGCGGTGTATGTACACGTTTCTTTTGTAATTCTTCTGTTGGTAGCTCAAGAAGATCAGGAGCACCAAGTCATATATTAATGCATATTGTTAAAAGTAAACATAAAGAGGTTTGTTGTCATCCATTAGGGCCTCTAGGTAAATATATTTATATATAACCCTTATATATATATATATATATATATATATT